TCTATCATCAATCTAAATCTATCTCGAGTCATGAACTTAATTCTTTCCATGGTTCTGGTCCCAAACTGATTTGGCCGAGAACCAAATCAAACTCAATGATTAGGTTCAATGTTAATCTTATGGGGAGATTTGGTTTGGTTCTCATACAATTTGAACAGGCGATAAAACCTTAATGTGTGATTAAGTATACCAGCGATTATCTTGATACTGAACATTCAATTATATTCTGGCTTACTGTGGGGCAATCCATTAAAGTGTGTGTGATAGGTTCTTACAAGCATTTAAACTGGAAAATCCAATTGCCTAACAGACCTTAATCAGAAGACATACTTTTTAAAACAATCAGCAAATTTTCACCTTTTATTGCTCTTAGTACACAAACGCTGGGAATCTAGTAACTATGATGTGCCCATTAGTACTGTCAGTTTGACTGGATTGAGAAAGTTTAAGAGGTGCTTGTATCATGGAGGCATTATTCTCATCAGTAGATTAATCCTCTGTTGTTCAAAACTGTATGTGCTGTTAAGAAGTGGAGCCCAGTTGAAGGAGCTGGGTCAGGAAGGATTTTGGAAGGTCTATGTCTTGCTGGAATTCTTCCCGTGCTCTGCTTCCTGGCTGTGATGAAATGAGCAGCTTTATTCCACTATGCCTTCACACCATTGTTTCAGCCATGCATAGAAACTTCTTGAAACTATGAGCCAAATAAACCTCTCCTTTAAGTTGCAAGTATCAGATATTTTGTCCCAGCAAATGGAAAGCTAATCCATACAGCTCATATTCTCATGAGGAAATGTTTATAGTTGTCTAGAATAGACAAAGATATACATCTCCTCAAAGATCTTTGAATCAAGGAGCATCAAGAGCAGAGTGTAAGCTGAGGGTAGGGATTTTTTTCTTTGTCCCCAGTGGCCACAGTTGTGCTAGACACATGAAAGGGATTTAACAAATACTGACTGCCTATTTAGCCAAGAATGTGAGGACATGGGTTTTTAAATTAATTCCAAAACTGAAATGATTGAGGTAAGACATATTCACTGTAAATAGCATGCATACAAAGTTGAGTAACATACTGGAGTAATGAGATGCAAATCATGATACATATCATACATTACCTCTTTCAGTTTTAAATTTTTAGCTTACAATGCTACATCTAGTCCAATCTTTGCATTCTTGCATGACATATGCAAGTACGTAATACAAGTCAACTTACACATAGGAAAATATTTTTAAGAGACCCAGACACACATACAATCCAATGATTTACATTTAATAGATTGTGAAGAGATAGATTCCTTAGGAAAAGTAAAGCAGATCTCTCATTTGTTATTATTAAACTGGTAGTAGTAGTATTGAATGATTTAGTCTTTTTTTTTTTTGATTCCAGGAAAAGTAATTGATACATTACTTTTGCTACCAAATAGATGCAAGTTCTGTTTACCCCATTATGGAAATTATTAAAGAACAATTTTTAATTTCTATGCATTTGTCCCATATGGCAAATGAGAATATTTTTGAAAAACCAAATAAAACTTGAGACTCACACGATGCTCCTTGTCATAATTTTTTCTAAAAGAGAAACTTTCCAACCGAAAACACAGATTAAGCTTAATATTACCTATTATTTGGGGGAAACAATGACATCTGTAGCTATGATATAAAACCAGTTTGACAGGCTATATGCTTTTACTATGGGCTTGAGGATATATTACAAGAAGGAACTGTCACTGGTAAACAACTAAGTCAATTAGTAAAATCCTGCTGATTATAAATTTATCATTAGCAAACAAAATAAAATGTGCTTTCAAAAACTTCTGAAACAATTTTTTGAATTTATTTCTAAAAGTCAGATAAAAACCTTAAAAGTAATATATTTATTCTAATGCTACATGCATCAGCAAAACAAAAAATAAACACAGGAATACAAAAATTAACAGCACATTTTTAATTAATACAGTATTCTGGATACAAGTAGAATACAACTAGATATTAACTGTATTTACCTCAGAAATCTATGAGGGTGTGGGTTGAGATAAACCAAGATTTATGATAGACATTTCACTACTCACATTTCAATCAGTGCTAACCAGAAGCTGAAGCAATTATTTTAGGCAAAGATTTTCAATAAAATTATAGAACTATTCTTCCAGGTAAATGAATGAAAAGTGATCTGTCTACAATAATGTCAGTTGGAACAAGTCAAACATGAAGAGATCTTACAAAGACTAAGCATCAAATGTCAAACTGTGGCTTTTGTTTTGGGTCTTAAATTTTATTTTGCTTATGGTTCTATTAACATTCACACACAAATTCTTCTGGATAAAAGCATTAATGTGGAACTTGCAGCTTGGAGATCTTGCCAGCTATTCTTACAGTAGTGTTTAAGGAATTAATATTTCAGAACAATTCCAAACTAATGCTTAATTGGGTACAATAGTAAAATGGAGAACTTTAAAATTTTCTGGTCCCTGAAAATTTGATAGGGCCAAATGATTTATTAAGTGAAAGTATTACAAAAAAACCCCCTGATAATGGACAAAAAACTATAGAGGTTCTCATACAAAATCTATTTTCACCCTGTAAAAAATGATTACAACGTCCTTCAGGCTTGCTATATGCACCCATATAATCAAAAAGAAACCAACAGGAAATTCAACATTTCAACAAGCTAGGAACTATTAACTGTAAGCATATAGTGAAATTCTGGAAGACATACTACCATACTTTTGAGAAACACTAATAACAGGTAAGCATGTGTTGAAGGCAGTTTATAAATGAAACATTACAAATTTTGTTTATGCATACAACTTATAAAATAGAAAAAGTTGCTATTTTTTTTCAATAATATAGCATCACACTAACACTATATACTTAAGACTGAAAGCTTCTATACACAAGTCTACTCTACCTCCAAAGCAGTATATGCCTCTTAGATCTTCTCATTTGCTAACATATGGCAATCATAGTTTCAGGGATCTGTACCAGTCTGAGCAGGCTAAAACAATCACTCTTATTTATGAGACAAAGTTAACCAGTTTCAGGAAAATGTTTCATAATCAGTAAAGAAATAGTATTAACACAATAGGATGAAAAACTCTTAAGGACATGATAGACTCCTAACAGAATGCACTATGACCCTAGATAAAGTAAATGTGGAAATAAGGAGCCTGGAAAAACACATCTGAATATATATACCAAATGATCATTCCTACCAGAAACACAAATGTGAAATTGTTTTACTTTACTAATTCTACTAAAAGCTGTGGCCACATATTTACTGGTGGTACAATTACTACCCAAATAAGCAGTTTGAATCGTGAACTTCAAAAACCTAAAGATTGTATATCTAGCTTTATTTTTGTATCCTGAAAATGGTGTAATGAAACCCAATTACTTTCCTAGCTTCTTGGATCTATCATCTTAGGAAATTAAATTTAAACATGGTTGCCCGCAATTTTTTTCTAGAGAAAAGCAAAATACATTTTGGTTATGTTTTGCTGGTTTCCTCATTGATGTGCTTTATCAATTACAGTGCTACTCTGGGCATTTATTGTGCTACTATAACTTAACCAAACATGAGAAATCTTGGAAGTTCAAATTTTCACAAATGACTTTTTTTTTTTGGTAGCAGGCTTTTACAAGAAAATCTAAAACCAGATGGTCTCTCTGACAACTTGAATTAGGAACTTAGGTCTGTAAGACACTTAAGGAAAGTTGTATGAATTATTTTTTATTTACCTTGGTTTTTAAACAGTTGTGTTAAAACGACCTAAAAGATAACTCTAAGTCACATAAGGGCATTACTTATCACTGCTCTGTAATAGAAATGTTAACTTTTTTACTTGAATGTTTTGAAATCAACTTTTAAAGATCTTATCCAAGTTTTTAGCTGTTAAATTTGTTAAATATAACCTAGGTTTCTTATGGGCTAAACTACTTTGACAACCTTAGAGGACAGTGAAGTTCAGACATAGATAATATTCTGAACATGGCTGACCTTTAACAGAACTGATTATTTTTCTCACCCAAACAACTATGCAGCATACTGCCAGATCTCCACTACGTCTTGCTCGAAACAAAGCAGATGAAAATGAAAAAGGAGCTTCTATTTATCTAAAGTCTTATAAAATCTTATAGAAAAAAATAATGTATAGAAAGAAATTTCCTTGTTATGTGATCTGTCAGCCAAAAAAGTAACTAATTCTCTATAAAAAGAGGAAACTCAACCATAAAATGTCTGTTTGTCAGGCTGGAAGTGACACAGACATTTTAAGAAAAATCCACATTCAAGAAGATGCTTAAAATGAAAGCTGTTTCAAAAATCTGAACATAGTAAGAAACTAAAATTTTATCACTGCAAAATTTCCCATGGCTTTTGGCACTAAAATTAAAAGAAATATTTTAGTCTTTTGGTCACTTGAAGCTGCTACTAAAACAGTAAGACTTTAAAAAGAAGAGGAAAAGATAGTGAGGAACTGAAGGATAGGTTAGGTAACTATTTCAAATACGAATAAAACATACTTTGAAATAAACAGTCATTTCTGCTAGGGATCTCCAGATATAATGTTTCTCATCACCTCTTTCATTTTGAAGAGGATCCTCCAATCAGAATAATTCCTTTAAGTTATTCTGAGTGGTGTTGCCTGGCAGCAGCTTCATTTTTCTACGCTGGTCTTCAATCCAGATAATTAAGTAATCTCAGAGAGAATAATCATACATGGCAACAGGGCAAAAAAAAAAAAAACGCATGGAATTTTTTCCATGCACAAACATTCCAGGAGAAAACCCATGAATTTTAACGACAACCATCAGGTTTCAGGTATCATAGCACACTCTATACCTAAGTTTTGCTTAAAACATTGGTGACTAAAATTAACAAGTTGTGTGTGAGGATTTTTTTTTGTTTTTTTTGCCTGCAACTATATACACATTGCAAAACTATTCCGCATCACATGATTTTAAATGAAATAAATATAAAAATGAACCACACAATCAACACATAACTTTAATACTCCACATTATTTATCTTGATCACAATGGCGATAACCTCCTTGTCAACAATCCTGTGAATTGAGCAGCTGATTCTCATTCTCATATCCATCAGGCAGATAAGCTCTCCTTAGTTGGTCTGACTTAGGTATGGAGCCTCCATTCTTCACGTGGCGAGTCAGGAAAGCACGGACTGCAGGGTGATCAGCCTTCTCAAGGGGGATGTTGGCTTCCAGGCACATTTTCACAAAGTCCTGGATAACACTGACTTTTTCTGTTTGCGCAGTACTGTTGCACTGAAGAGATGCAGTCAGGGGCCTCTGCTTCTTTCTCACATTCTGCTCTTCAAATTCTGCCTTCCTCTTGGTATGAGTCTTTGACTTGAGGTGGTCACTAATGGCAGACTTGCGAACATGATTCAGAACCACATTGCAAGAAGTACAGAAGAGTTTTCCTCCATCTTCATGAAGCTCACCTCCAAACTCAGTGACTCGATCCAGGGGAGTCACATATAAAGCAGTCTTAGAACGGTTTCGAGCAGGTGGTGCTGTTACTACAAATCGTTCCATTCTTTTAGTAACTTTGAGTAAGGTTCTTCCAACACAAGAGAAACAAAGATAAGTATTTTAGCAACAGTTCTTTCTTGAAGCAGTTAACAGTAAAAAGTAGAGTACAAATCTATTAAGATTACAGACTTTATGGCTGGGGATTTAGCTCAGTGGCATCACACCTGCCTCACAAGCCCAAAGTGCTAAGTTTCAGCCCTGGTACCAACAAACAAACAATTTAAATTAGACGACTGTGTGTTCCTTAAATTTAACTTTGTGCTGAGTGTGGTGGTGTGTGCTTGTAATCCTAGCACTATGGGAGGCTGAGGCAGAGGGCTCTTAAGATGGAGCCCAGCCTGGGCAACTTAGTGACCTCATGTAAAAAATATAAAATGGTGGCTATGCTGGGGGGGGTGAAAATGATCAAAGTATGTTATGTGAATGTATGGATCTGCCAAAACAAAACCTATCAGTCTGTGTAATCAATTAGAAAAAAAAAGAAAAAAAAATCCAACATTCAGAATATTAATTATATAATTTAACAATTTAGATATGTATTCACATTTTAAAGTTTTCTGGGGGGGGTTATTCCAAAATAATTTCCAAAACTATTCTGAGAAAGACAAGAAAAATCAATACACCAACAATGACCTTAAAATTTAAAGTCTCTCACAGAGAGAGAGAGAGAGGGAGGGAGTTCAAAGTTAGTCATTTTTTAACACAGGCATATCTAAATTTTCCAAACATGATACTCAAGGTATGCAAAGAGCTCTTTCTATAATATTTGGTTCTTTTTCCCATTGCAGATGAATAATTACATTCATTAATAGCTATTTCACTTATTAACCAGTAAGTTAGAAAAAAATCAAGAATTTAATACAGTGTCCAGTATATAACAGATGATCAATCAAAACATGTTGATGGAAAAAATAAAGCAAGGGCTGGGTATACAACTAAGTGGTGGAGTGCTTGCTGAGTACATAGGAGGTCCTGGATACTGTCTGCAGCACCACACACACATACACACTAAATAAATAAACAAAATACACAAATAAATAAATTACAGGGCATCTTCACTATTTGTCCAAATATTTAATTTACAAGCAGCTTAATAATTTCTCAATTTATCCTAAACACAACTTATTATCAATGAATAAGCGTCAAAAATCATTAACATTTTGGACACTGAAAACTTGAGATAGTAAATATACTTTAGTTGGTGACAAATGACTAGTTAAGTCTTATTGTTCCCCTAGAATCCATCTGTCTTGGAACTAAATTATTACAATTACTAAGATTTCAACTATCAAATTTGATAGGATGCAAACGGAATTCTGTTCTTTACAAGTATTTTAGATAAGGATTCCTAAGTGTACTGTGAAGAATTACGCTTCACAAGCATAACCTGAAACAACGGAGTATTCCACTGCACTAATCGACAGTAAAGAATCAGTAGCTGGGTAACATAAAATTTCTTTCAAAAGAACTTTAAATTGTCAAGTAGAACATCTGTGGACCCAAGTCAGATAGCTTAACATTTCACAGAAATTCTGGTATGATGAAGTTCAGATTTTAATCGGCTTAAATTCTATTTTTTCATTAAAAATATTTTTAGAAATGTACAGCTCTCATTTCATCAGATGTTAGTTTCGAGGTTTGCAATGGCAGAGGAAACAGATATTACTGCCTAGCACTTAGTGAATTATCATTACATGTCTCTAAGTAATGATGCTTTATACTCCACTAACAAATCAGTCCCCATTATGATTAATAGCACTATGGTAATTATGAATCATTAGATATGTGTGCCTAGTGACACATTTTACTTTCTTCATGAAAAATCTTCTATCTTTAAATATCGGTATTTCAAACTTTGAAACAAATAGGCAATTCTTTGTGATATAAAATGTTTAATCACTTGTGCTAATGAAAAGCCAATACTTTTGAAATGCCTCCTAACTTTCAAAAAGTCTTGTTACTGTTACTACAGAGGATGTGCCAGTTAACATAAAAGTAATTTCAATAGAAAATATTTTAAACAAAGAAGTTAGAAAGAGTAGGAATTAGCAAACAAAAGAGAAACAGCATTAACGTACTAGGTCGAAAATAAAACATCGTAACTTTTTAAGTTTAAATGTTTACCGGATTAGTTTCCAGTTTTTTTCTTGATAATTAGTAGTGAAGGGTTTCCAGCCCAATACCAGAGACGCATCAAATCCCCGCACTGCACTTTACGTTTTTCAAACCCGGACCGCTTTCAAATCAGATTTTCAACCAGTGATGTTGAGGAAACAGATTCTGGGCTTGCACCCTATGTTCCCTGTGGTGCCGGGAAATCATGCCTCCGCTGCAAAATACGAAAAACAAATGGAAAGAAAAGATGGGGGAGGGGGAGCGAACGAAGAGTGGACGAATACAGGAAAAAAGAACTTCAACAGCTACCACGCAGGTGTCGGTAAAATCCCTCCTTGGGTAACTCCACATCCCTAAACGTGATCCCAACATTTACCCCGACACTTCCCACCGAGGTCCACCTCTGCTGTCGGCCCCGCAGAGCACCTCCTGGCGCTACCCAGGCCTCAGGTTCGGGCGCAGAC